CCACTCAAAACAAAAGTAATATTAAAATTCATTTGGGAAAATAACTTAGAAATTAATATATTTTCCAAAAAAAAGATACTTTTTTTTTTAAATTTTATAGTTTTTATGTTTCTCTTTTTTTATTTTTGTCTATTGCAGGAAGTTTTTGTTGGTTCCTTCAACCACACCTAAAGGACAAAATAGAAAAGAACAAAGAACAATTTACATATGTCATGTACAATGTTTATAGAGCCACAGATTTAATGTTCAATGGTGAATCTCAAATGGAAGAAGCAAGATTTTTTGCCAGAAATTTTCTTATGAATAATGATAATTATTTATCATTATTTCCATCACTTCAAAAAGTGGTAAGTAGTACTTAACATAGATTGTTTAAACATAATTTTTTATTAGTGGTAATTACTTACTAGAGGTCACGGGTTTGAGTCCCTGGTACAAGATCGTCTCTGTTAAGAAACGTTTTATTCTCAATGTAGGATTTTATGGTGTTAATCTGAATTTAATTAGGCTTTAATGTGAATATTGAACACTAAATGAAAAAAATGTACATTTTATCAATTCATAACTAATATGTGTTAAGATTTTAGTAAATGTTTATGTATGTATCTATACTTTGTATCAAAATTATGAGTTCAGATGAAATTGTAGCTGAAATAATGTTTTTTTTACATGATAATTTTTTTTTGTTGTTTATTTATAGATTGAGCATGAGTTGAATGTACCATGGTTTGCTCGATTAGAACATCTTGATCACAGATTATGGATTGAATTAAATCAATCTATCCCTCTCTCTATTGGAAAATCTTCATTTTATTGGTAAGTATATATTATTATTAGTATTATTATTATTTTATTTACATAGTTTATATATTATTAATTAATTTAAAAAATGTTATTTTCTTAGGTTGTCTTATCTGCAAAATGAAAAGTTAATGCAATTAGCTGTGCAAAATTATGAATATCGACAGTCAATTTATAGGAAGGAATTGGAAGACCTAAAGAGGTATCAACACAATTTCCTTTGATCTTCATAAATAATATTATCGATAATTTTTATTTTCTATATACTGACAGTATAAATTATTTGTCTGATAAAAAAATTTGATTAGAGATTAAAAGTATATATCTTCAAAATATTTTCAAATTTTTAAAAATGGATCCAACTTAGTTTTTGGAGAAAACTTCAAATACAACTTCAAAAATTTAAATTTTTAAATTTCAACTTAAAATATATGATCAAACAAGAGGTAAAGTATTCTCTTAATCAAGATTGGATGCATTGTTTATGGTACGGATTTGATAGAATTCAATAGCTTTAATCTAGACGTTACATTTGTCTTTGAAAATCCATTAAATATGTAACATTATAAATTTAAAACGTAGAAAGGACAAGAACCCAAAACGCTGATAATATAAACTATTTTTATATTATTAGTGTATATAAACTAAATTTGTATTACATCACATCATTCTAATCATTAAAAAAAATAAAAAAAATCTCTATTTCATGTATTTATTTATTTTATTTTATTTTTGGATTTGTAGGTGGTCAAAAGAGAAAGGGCTTGTAGATATTGGATTTGGGAGAGAAAAAACTACTTATTCTTATTTTGCAAGTGCAGCAAGTAGTAGTAGTTTTCTACCTTATGAATCTTTTCTTAGATTAATTGTTGCAAAATGTTCCATAATTATTACTGTTGCTGATGATTTTTATGATGAAGAAGCCTCTTTAAGTGAACTCCATATATTAAGTGAGGCAATACAAAGGTAATTCCATATATATATAATCTGATCGTATAAATATTTTTTATATTATTAATGTATAAAACTTAACCTCGATAGTTAATTAATTATTTTTTTTTCATAGGTGGGATGCAAAGAATCTTGATGGACCAAGTAAGATCATATTTGAAGCACTTGATGATCTTGTGTGTGATGTTGCCAAAATGTATCATCTTCAACACAAAATTGACATCACCCCACAACTTAGACACATGGTAAGTTTTCTCATATTATTTAACTGTCAGTGTATATAAATTAAACTCAATAACAAATAAAATTTTGAAGAAATACATATGAACCATTGTTATCCCTATAAGTAGGGTATAAGGGAGGAACTGAGAGATATTTATCGAACAGTGATCAGTTGAAAAAAAAAGTTATGTTGTATATATAGCATGACGAGATTAAAAATCCCTCCAACTATAATCTTTCTTTAAGAAATGTTTACACAAATAGTTGATCGGGTTCATTGTTTACTTTTTCTAGTCGTACACAATTGATTACACACAATTATACATATATTACATATCGACCGATTATATTTTAAATTATGGAATTAATAAAAGTTAATTTTTTTTATTAAAAATAAAAAGTGGAAGGAGACATTTGATGCATGGATGATGGAAAGCTTATGGAGTAGAACTTCAAATTTGCCATCTAGGGATAAATATCTACAAGTTGGCATGATATCAGTTGGTGCACATATTTTAGTTCTTCATGCTGCTTCTCTTGGATGTACTATTTTGCCAAATCAAGTGTTTGGGCCAATTAATGGTCAATATGAAAACATTACAAAGTTGCTCATGACCACAACTCGTTTGTTGAATGACATCCAAAGCTATCAAGTAAGTCCATTAATACACGCCTTGATGAAATTATTTATAGTCACACTATGTTATAGAATAAAATAACGTAATAAAGATCCTGCTTACATGAAATGATGCCGATCTATTATAACAATTTCATTTCTCTTCTTTTTGTGGAAAGAAATTATTTTGAAGTAAGCAAATATGTTATGATTCCAGGAGTCTATCTGTCGCGTATAGATTTTAGGGGCGGTTTTTAATAAGGTTTTACTTGCATATAACACTATAAAAAGACAGGAATCGCGATAGATAAATTATGAATTTGTACCTTATACTAATTTTTTAATTGTACATGATCAAATGCAGAAAGAAAGGGAAGTTGGGAAGATGAACTACACATTGCTTCACTTGAATGAAAACCCTAGGGGACAAATTGAAGATTCAATTGATTTTGTGAAAGTGATATTGGGAGATAAAAAGAAAGAATTTCTTGAAAATGTTTTAATGGATGGATTCAATGATATGCCAAGAACAATGAAGCTCCTACACCTTTCTTGTTTAAATGTGTTTCACATGTTCTTCAATTCTTGCAATTTATTTGATACAAAATCAGCAATACTTGAAGATATAATGAGAGCTATTTACATTCCACTTGGTCAAAATGAACAAACTAAAGTAATGGCAATTCAAGAAAAGAAAATAAAGAAAAAGATTGAGATTGTCAAAGTCAATGCATGTGTCAATTATGAGATAAACATGAAACAATTACAAGTTGGTGTTGGGATAAGTTATGTTAAAAGGCAAAATCCTAAGAATTATAATTCTTTTGGTTTGTCTACAAAAGGGTTTGCTTCACATAATCTAAGATTATGTTTCATGTAATTGTTGAAAAATGTTATTATAGTGAAAGAGTGATTGCAAAAGTAGCTCTTGCAAGGAATTGGGAAATCACTTTTTTTTTAAAAAAATAATATTGTAATAATATAGTATATATTATATTTCAAGCAATTTTTAGTCTTCATATTCTTCTTTGATTTTGTTTCTATGTGGCATTGGTATATTTTATTTTATTTTTGTTTAAAGGCAAGCTCCTAAGAATTATAATTAATATATTTTGTCCACAGCCTAAATATTTTTGTATGTTGCAAGAAAGTAGTAACCTAGTCATTGTTTTTTCCTAATAAAAAGGTAAGAAAACTCTTATTATTCTACTTTCGTTTGCCATAAATTTTAAAGGCGATAGGAAATTAAATAGCAATTACAAATAAAATATAAAAAATATAATTTTATTGATCAAGATTATGAATTTTGTATCTCCCTTGATTCTTCTTTCAAAAGATTTAATTTATTCATGATTCGATCGAGGGTCGTTAGTGGTGTATTACATTTCTAAAACTAGAATGATGGATTTTGATCTCTCTATGAATTTGTGAAATATTCGAGAGATATTTTAAAAGAGTATAGTCTCTTTATAAAGATATGAACTAGGGTTTAGAATTGAATAGCCTCTAAAAATTTTAATTAAATTTAAACATGTAAAATCCTACGAAATGTAAATGTCTATAATAATTATATATTTATAACTCAATAACTATGACTTTTTTTAGGACTATCTATTCATTCTTTTCTCTTTTTTTTTAATTGACAGTATTTTAAAAATAACTTTTCTAACTTTATCGGGTATAAAAGTAAATTCTCCATATTTTTTTCTCAACCTCATTATAATGATTATATAATTGTTATAGCAACTAATCCATTTATGAATTAATTAATGTGGCTTATGAATGACCATGACTCAATAATATTTTCTAACAACAACTTGATTACTAATTTGATTGAGTTGACTTTCAACATGATTAAGAAACACTTAAACCACAATAACTTCCAACAAATATGTCAAAAAATTTGATTAGGAACAAAAAAAAAACTAGAACTATTATATTTTCTTCGTCCAAAATTATTTGACAGGTATATTAAAAATAGATGTATAAGATTAATTGTGAATTTAAATAATTAAAAAATAATTTATCACTATTTTCTTAATTTGTCCTTAATGATAGTGTAGTTCAATTTAAAAGTTAGATAGCCTTTTGATATTCTTGATAAGATTATATTAGTCAAATTACTCATTGTATTAAATTTTCTTTGAGGGATATGCATGACCTTAACATAACAAACAATTATGGACGAAGAAAGTAACTACGATTAAAAATATATCGCACCGAACGAAACTATTTTTTTTAACTAAAAATTTCAAGTTCTAGTCATGAATATGAAGAAATAATTTTTTAAAAAAAGTTCCTTCTAAATAAAATTTTAAGTTATACAAATTTGAATTAGTTAGAGTTTAAAAAAAAAATAAAAAATAAAAATATATATATATATATATATATATATAAAAAAAGTAAAAAAAAAGATTTGTCCACTCATTTTTGTTGTCTTCTTCACAACCAAAGAGAAGAAAACTCCATTGCTATAATGGAGGAAGAGCAAAACAAATCTCCTCTCCACCATTATTGGGGAAATACCTCAGAGGAAGATTACTATACTCTTCAAGGTATCAAATCTACTAAATCTTTTTTCACTTCATCTAGAGATTTAACCCTTTTCACAAGATCATGGTTACCCCCAACCAAAACCCCACCTAAAGGTATCATTTTTATGATCCATGGCTATGGAAATGATATCAGTTGGACATTTCAAGCAACCCCAATTCACTTAGCTAAAAAGGGTTTTGCTTGTTTTGCTCTTGACCTTGAAGGGCATGGCCAATCTCAAGGTCTTAAAGCTTATGTACCTAATCTTGATTTAGTTATTGATGATTGTTTGTCTTTTTTCAGTTTTGTTTTGACCCAAAATACTGAATTTCAAGATTTGCCTAAATTCCTCTTTGGTGAGTCAATGGGTGGTGCAATTTGTGTTTTGATTCATTTGAAAAGACCTAAAGAGTTTAATGGTGGGATTTTGATAGCCCCAATGTGTAAAATCTCTGATAAAGTGAAACCTATATGGCCAATTGCTCAATTTTTGACATTAGTTGCAAGATTTGCACCAACTTTGGCTGTTGTACCAACAGCTGATTTGTTGGAAAAATCTGTTAAAGTACCTGAAAAAAGGATTATTGGTGGGAGGAATCCTAATAGGTATTTTGGAAAACCAAGATTGGGTACTGTTGTTGAGCTTTTACGTGTGACTGATTATGTTAGTAGCAAACTATGTGATGTGATTATGCCATTTTTAGTGTTACATGGGAGTGCTGATGTTGTTACTGATCCAGAAGTGAGTAGGGAATTGTATAAATTGGCGAAAAGTACGGATAAGACATTGAAGATTTATGATGGTATGATGCATTCTTTGTTGTTTGGAGAGACTGATGAAAATGTTGAGATTGTTCGTGGTGATATATTGGCATGGTTGAATGATAGATGCTGAGCAGGGGCGGATCTAGAGGAGATGAATGGGTTCGTATGAATAAAAACACACTATATATACAAAGGTCGAAAGTACTTATTAGGTATATACAGTACCCTTGATGATTGATGAAAGTCGTGTCTCCGCCACTCATGCTGAATTGTCTGCACTTGGATTAAATACATATCTGATTCGTATTAATCTCATTTCTAGTTCATTAGTGTGTGTCATATTTGTTAAAAGATCCAAACTTTAGAAGTTTTTTTTCTCTAAGAATGATGTGTAAAGCTTGCCAAGTAGTCTAGATATAAAGATTGCATTTTTTCAGCAGAATCAAGCTTGGATATTTGCTTTGAAGCATTCTGTGTTTACTTATGAATGCATGTTTTATAACTTCTCTATTCCTATGAATGATGTGAACTGGATTATCTGTATTTTGCAGACTTTGATGGCAAAGCTTTCCATTTAGACTAATCAAGATTGTACATTTTCTTATGAATGAATCATATTGGTGCATGACTATTGAAAGAATGTTATTTATTAGTCTAAGTTGTAGTGGCAAAGTTATTTGGTAGTTATGCTTGTGATAACATGTACTCTGTCTCTAGACAATTGTGATTTCTTTCTATTTGACTAAGATTCGATGAAGAAAGTTATCCGATACCTGTGGTGGTGAAATATCACATGTACTCAAAGAGAATAGTCTAACATGTGGCGCGCGACCTGCCATTCCTGGTTTGGTCTTACAAGCGTGTTGATAAGGCTGCATACATACCACCCTCCTCAGATATTACTATGTTGTTGTTGTTGTTGTATATGGGAGTGCTGATGTTGTCACTGATCCAGAAGTGAGTAGGGAATAGTATAAATGGGCTGAAAGGACAGAAGAGACATTGAAGATTTATGATGGTGTGATGCATTCTTTGTTATTTGCAAAGACTGATGAAAATATTGAGGTGGTTCATAGGGACATATTGGCATGGTTGAACAATAGGTACTAAACCGGGCCAGAAGTGGTTCATATGAACCCGTTGCTGGAAAATTTCACTATATATACAACAACATATCCCGTGAAACTTCATAAGTGGGGTTTTTTAGGGAGGCTGGAGTGTTCACACGCTTTATCATTGTCTTATGAAGGTAGAGAGGTTGTTTCTGAAAGACCCCTAGTTCAACTTCAACAATTTCACTGTATATATTAGGTCAAAAATATATTTTAGGTATATATAGCAAATGATGAACCCTTTGGTGAAAATTTTGTGCATATTAATCGCATTTCTAGTTGATTGGTGTGCCATATTTGTAAAAGATACAAACTTTAGAAGTTTTTCGTGAAGAATGATGTAGGTTGAATTATTTTCATCAAGTTACTCGACTCAATAGAAGAATGAAATAGATGGGATTTGAGAAAGGAAGTGACATCCAACTTGGGAAGCTCGATACCACTAGTAAGAGAAGTGACCGAAGGACGAGAATCAAGCATAGGGGGTTCTGCTCTATGCTAAATTCTTCTTCTAAGAAACAAATGGAAAAGGGAGTGCTTGTATTGCGATTTTCGTAGTCCAAGAATTATTATTTTTTTCAAGAAACGAATCCCTCTTCAAATAGATCGATGTCATAATTGTATTGTTTCCAACAAAATCAAGACTCAATATTTACTTATTAACAAAAGGCAACTCGATATAAAAAAACATTTTACATTCACTTAAATAAGAAAGATAATTTATAAATAAATTTTTTTAAAAAAAAATTTAAAAAAGTAAAGGTCCTACCGAGAATTGAACTCGGGTTACTGGATTCAGAGTCCAATGTCCTAACCGCTAGACCATAGGACCATGTTTGATATAATTCTTGGTAGTAAATTAATAGACTCTTTTACACAAAAAATCATTCACAAATCACAACTATAAGCAAAAATTATGATTTATTTTTCGATAACCATGGTGTCTCCGGGCCAGTATGTATGTATTTCGACTAATTCTATCAAATGTAAGCTAAATAAGAAGAAATCATCTATTGATATTTTTTGTTATTACTGGAATTTGAATTTTTTGAGGTCATATGATTCTCAGCTCTAATGATTTTTAGTATGCCGAATAGTAAAATTGAAAGAAAAAAATCTTATTTCATATTTATGATTATATAGAACAGAAAATTTTAACAGCTTAGTTGGTTAGTTTCTTTGACTATCCTAGCTTCATATAAAAAATAGAGTTAAATTATCACTAATTAGATTAAGAGATAAGGGGTCAAACATGTGTATACACATTCATTTAGGGACTTTGTTTATATGTGATTCTTCTTTATTTGTTGAGACATATTTTTCAATTGATTTATAAAATCCTTAATTAACTCTCATCATCATTTTTCAACCATTTTTCTTCATTTCTTCATCAATATTACATATTTCCTTAACATACTTGTTTATTTTAGGGATAATACACAAGTACCCCCTCAACCTATG